ATTGTTCAAGGAACAATCCCTGTGAGTTTTATCGCAAACTTAAATTCACTTTCCCCCGGCCTGGGTGATTTGAGATGGAATGAGCCGTATATATAAGTAGGTATATATGCATATAAATTTCACATATTACTTCGTACTTTGCACCAAAAGAAGAACGATATCTCTTTCTGGAATTTCGTTGTTTATAACCAGTTGTAATAAGCTGATAAGCGACTAGATGTGTAGGTACATATATTCATATGTATGTATGTATGTATTTACAATATTACTCACCAAATTTTCTCTCAGGAAAATTAAACTTTCGCACTGTATATTTCACATTTTCGAATTCAATATCAATCTCTTTGCACTGATCGAAATTCGTTTCCCAATTTTCGTAGTTATTTTGTTTGTGTAGTACATTACTCGTGCAATTCGGCTTCACACAAACCGATGACCTATCGATTGAGGTTTCCGAACTGGCAACAGTAGAGCAGCAATTTATGCCGGCTCCACAAGCTTCTGTTGGCTTGATATCTTGTATCACAGTCATTTTCCCGCTGTTAGCATCAACGAACACTGCAAAGAAATAATATAAAATAAATTACATTAATAATAACAAATATTACTTGCGAAATATTTTTAAAATGTTAATTTAAAGCAAACTTCTTGCACGTATAGTTCTCTTAAATTTTACAGATACTTAAGATGATTTTTTTTTTATAAAAAGTAAAGACATATAGCAGAGTCGCAATTGAGTGTTCGGTCGGTCGCGCGCTTCACAGATGAGTAGAAATGCATGTAAATATATGGAGCAACTCGCAATGTGACCTCAACTGTTTGATCGCAAGTTTTTTGCAAATATTGTATGCCCAGTGGTAGCACTTCGCAACGCTAGAGTAGATCATTTTTCTACTCGGTCGCGCGTTTGACAGACAGTAATTTAAAAATGTCTTGCAGGTAAGTCAAAAATTTAGTACGAGGAAACGACTTTAAATATAAGACACTTACCGAATGTCAGTGCAACTGGTGCGAAATAAAGTCAATTGACATTATTACCTTTTCAAAAGCGAAATAAAATCCATTGACATTATTGCTCTTTCAAACATTAAATTTGCTTAGCTTCGCAGCGGCCCACGTCCGCGCGCCACACCACGTCACGCTACGCCGCCTAATACCCTCTATCTGCACACTTTTCACAAAGATGAGATTCTGATGACAGGTAATAAGTCCCAGATGGTTTCTAAAATCACAAATTAGTTGTTGTGCAAATTGCAGATAGAGCGTATTAATGAATTTAAGTCCTCGATATTTCACATTTTTATATTTGTAAGTTATTTGAAGATTTCTGCTGTGTTTTGGCAACAACTCGTCTGCAGTAAAAAAGCATATAATTTGTGTTTCAAACGTGTGTAAAAACCAATCAATTAACTTATATGATCTCAGTTCTGATATTAAATAATCAATAATTGTTTATACCCACATTTTGGCACATTGGCTTGAATATGCCATCTAATAAATAGTGTCGTCGTTCTCCTTAGCTGCTTTTAAATGATGTCACAAATTGTTGCCGGAGACATGAATACAGTAAGAAAATTCCTTTTCTATAATTGTTTCCTTATTGAAAGGTTGGTTTCTTTTCCACCTTAGGCATTCCGAATTCCTTCAAAGTATGCTAATTTAAAACATAGAATTATTTCCTCCGGATTTTTTGGACATGGGCTGTTTCTTCAATTTAATAGTGTTCGCTTTATTTTTGTGGAAACGAAACATATTTTGCAAGTTCTGGATCATTTCTACACTCTTCCTTCAAATATTTATCGTATTCCAGCTGCGTTTTGCGATTGGTTTTTCGTGTTTTGACTATATTCGTAATTTTAAATTTTTTAATAAAATCAATTGGTGGTAGTTCATGATTGTGTGTGGATTAATAGCACCACACTGAGAATTTGGCAATAACCATTTTCATCTATTAAAAAACCACACTTACGGGGCAATGTTTATTGTAAGAACAACATTTTTTTCTATGAATCGACATACTTTAAGCATTGTTGACGCCGTTTCCATTTGAATGAGGAAATAGCGTCAATGACTTTATTTCCAAATTTTTTTGACTTTATTTCGTTTTCGAAAAGGTAACAATGTCAATATTGTCAGATCTACCTAGATCCTTTTAAATCTAACCCATTCAAATAAAAATTACAAAAAAACAAAAACAATAGGGCGTATTCTTGTTTTCGTACGAATCGAAAATCTCGAAATTTTCTTATCATTTCCTATAGAAAAACTTCAAATTTTCGATTCGTACGAAAACCAGAATACGCCTCAATATATAGATATGTACATATATACAGCACCCAGAGGCATTTTTTGTCCATGCCATCAAAACTGCAACGATCGTTCGATTTTCGAAAATGAGGTGTCAAATGAAAGATCTTGGGCTGTAGATGCTAGGAGTTACCGTTAATTTTTGGCAACTTATGTTCGACAATTTTATATATGAAAGGAATTCGGAGCACCGTCAACATAAAAATAAATGCCAAAAATCAACGGTAAATCCAAGATACTTAAAATTTGCACTTTGCTTTACTAAAATTTGATTGGCTACAAAACCGAATCCAAAATTCTATCTAAAGACGCTGATGAAGAAGTTATAAATGTTTGTCAAACTTTGCAGAGTTTTCATAATTCTTGCACAAAGTCTGAAATTTAGATTTATGTAGTGTTTGTTAAGTAATCAGCTATACTTTCATAAAAAAATAATAAGTGTTAAATAAAGTAAAGAAAAATGAGCAAAACTTACTAAAATGTCGCGTCCCAAATTTTATTTGGTTCACTCGGTATCTCGGTAACTGATTTATCAATTTTTACCAAACTCAGTGCAGTTATTGACCTTGGCATAAAACAGCTATATTTTGAAAATTTTCGAAATCAGATTAAAAATACGCCCACTTTCCACTCCCAAAAAAAAAACGTTAAAAACGTATTGTGCGTTGCTTTAAAACACTGCACCACGTTGAATTTTGTATTCTAGCAGCTGAAGGAACCTATACTAAAAATGTCAGACAAGTGCCCGATTTACAAAAAAAATAAATAAATTTCTCAAAAAATTCGAAGTTTGTGAGAATCGCTCATATGTATGTAGAAAATGTTCGCAATATGCACAAAGCCAATATTATTCCAACTTTTTACCAATCTTTGAGGCATTTTTGATTCTCGAGTGGATAAACAAAATTTTCTCCAGTATTTTTCTCAAGGTTTGACTAAAAGGTGAATAAAGTTTGAATTTAAATTTATATCCAAGCTTTTCTAAAGTGTAGAACTCAGATTATTTTGCATAAAAAAAAATTTCACGCTGTCAAGTGGAAATACCCAATAAACACAGTCTCTAACGTTAGAGAAATTTAGATTTCTACATTACATAACTAGGGTAATCCTCTAATCGTTCTCCAGTCGATGACGAACTTACAGAACTACATTAGAATTCGATTCGAGAACCATTAGAGAAACACCGCAAATTGACATAAATATAAATAACCCGGCATTGAGGTTAGTTGTCGATTAGATAATGTTTGGAGAACTAGCCACATTCTCCAATCTCAAACGTTAGAGAACGACTCTGTGATAACCGAGTGAAAATAGATCCTTAGCTTATAAAGCATTATTTTATTACTTAGTACTTAGTACTCTACAGACTCAAAAAACTATCGAGAATCATATCGATCTCAACAAAAATGGGACATAGTTCTCGACTCGAGAAAATATTAATTCTAATTTTGACGGGGTTACCGGTCAATCATATTCAGTATTGTCTGCGCTTTCCCGTAAACAGCCAGCAGAGATGAGCCCGTTACTAGACAGGTAACTTCGTCCGTATAGGCTTGAGCGTAGATATCAGAGTCATTAAGAGTGACAAGAAGAGAAACAACTACTAGGCACCAGAGCAAAGGGGAAAGCACACCACCCTGAGAGCAAGCCTCGCTAACTCCACAAGTGACATATTGACCTCCTTCTACCTGATGAATCCTGATGACCCACTGCGCCAGGATTGAATGAATACAATTTACCAGCACAGAAAGTAACCAAGGCGAATTCTTTCCTATTTACGGCATTGCTAATTCTGGCAACCAGATTGATGCAAAGACAGAGGATGGGATGAGAGCGCCTCCCTGCGAATGCGCAACTCTACCAAACTTTCCAGACATTTTAGCATGAAGGATGTCAACTTATGAAGCTCCTAGTTCCACCAGGGTACAGGCGTACGGCTAAGAGGTTAAGAAATGCCTTGCGATAGATACTTAGGGATGAACTGTTATGTTGGGTGACCGTGGAGCCATCAAAGAAATACGAAAAGAAGCCACAAATTTTGCGATGCGCCACACTTATCTCATAAATTGAATTGAACAGATTTCAAAATTGGCTAAAATTGCACTTACCACGAAATTACCAAATATTATCAAAGAAAACAAATCCTGTTTTCAAGTTTCAAGAACAAAGCGGAACATATTTTTATCTGGCTTCTTACGGGAAAAAATTGTGCAGCTTTGTGAGACACGATTTGGTTCTCATAAAAATAAGTGTAGAATATCACTTCCTTAATATTTTCTCAAATGTCTCATAATTAGCTGAAAAGTTAAACCCAGAAAGCCAGAACATGCAGTCACCAAAATCGTCGAAATAATCATCCGTCTCATACCTCTTTGAAGTTGGCAAGACAACTTTATCCCAAAGTAAAAATTCCGACCGGATAATTTGCCGTTAATTATCCGTGAAAAGAATAATTTTGCCGCGGACATCTATATATAAATACGCCACAAGAAAATTTTGCAATCCCTTTTTTGAAGGCACCGTTCGCTCGATTTCAATGAAACATACACCGATTTAAAGGATATAACTTCCTCTAATCCAGAAATGTTAATCCCGATACATAGGGGGCGTGGCATCTGACATATAGACTAAAACGTAAAAACCACTATATCTCTAAAACCAATTACCCTCGGGAACTGAAACTTAGCACAGATGCATATAATGTAAATACCCTACTTACGGTGAAAAATGGTAGGTACTGGGAAAGTGGGCGTGGGACTTCCCATACAAACTGAAATTCTCATATCGCTTATCTGTGGAACCATTTAACGTCTTGGAATTGGACACAGCAACATACATATGTTGTCAATACCGTACTTACGGCGAAAAGTTGTAGATTTAGGAAAAGAGGGCGTGTTATGTATGCTAAAGGGGAAAGAGAATAAGGTGGCAGATTTTTTGAGTCGGATTCCACAACAATTTATCTCTGGAGATACTCAAAATCGAATCAAGTTGGAAAAGTTCGTTAGAAATAGTACACTCAGAAGAGGACTCTTCAAACGAACGGTTTCTTTTATCAGATTCTGTTGCAAATAAATATTTAAGGCAGATACGAATTGTTAAATGAAAATTAAAAGAATATGAAAAACTTTTTGGAAAATACAAAATAGTTCATGTAGATCAAATGACATTGCTAAAAATCAATATCTATATATTAATACGCTAACATAAATTTTGTCTCCGTTCGTTTGGCGATTCTACCGAACCGATTT